GGCTCGGCGTACTACGGAACGCAGTACTCGACGGAGGTGAGACCCCCACAACTTGATCTGAGATGCGTGACGTGCAAAGCGATGTTCTGGTGGGGTGCGTCTTCGCGCTATGAATCGGAAATACTTTCTGTACCTTCGTTCAGCAAAAGGGTTTGGAAAATCGCCATATGACTCATCTTGTTCACCGATACGCAATTTGTTCGTATGTTCTCTTCAGCTGTCGAGCCTACTACTCTAGTTTGTACCCATCACCAAGCGTGATGAACAGTCACCGTGAGCTGGTTTTCCGACTTCGAGGCTTCTGGGGTTGCCTTCGGTGGTTGATCGATCGTTCCCTCCCCGAGACTAAACCGTCTTGGGAATTCGCTACGACACTCCGTCGGACAACCATGAACAGGGCCGTATTGGACTAGCGCTCAAGACGACCCACGACTTGGCGGTACAGTTGGCTACACGTTCGCACAGCACCGGCACACAAGAGCCATCCGCCGTCCATGTTCCCCCCTCATAACCTAGTCTACGCGAGAAGAGAGAATCTTCCCACAAAGACGCTGGGGAGATATGACCCTTTTTAGCTCCACCTCATTGTATGTTTTCACTTCACGGTCTGGTGCCGCTATCTACTCTGCGGTCTCACCTACGACCCACCACACTTCATCGAGTAACAGCACACTGCACGCCTCCCACGTGTCGACGAAAACACCCTCCGTTGTCCACACACCACCGACATTGTGCCGCTCCTTTGCGGGAACGCCACTCACTGCTGCTGCGCCTTCTAAAAACAGTGCTGGTGCGGCGCCGAAGGCGCTGACTACGATGCCAACGGCGCGGGCGTCTGCGACATGCCCTGCGGCGGCGATGCGGGCGAGACCTGCGGAGGTTTCTACGCCATGTCGATCTACGAGCATGACGTGGACGGCGGGGAATCCGACGACCCCTCCTACCTGGGGTGCTACTCCGACCCGGCCGACAGCCGGGTGTTCGAACAGAAAATCTCCTCTGATTCCATGACCGCGGAGGTGGGCATCCGACCGGGGCGTTTTCGAAGGCTGCTGTTTGGTTGAATGGATTGTTTTTGAATCTCGTCTGGTCATGTGTTCGATAGGCTGGGTGAGCTGGTGACCACGGAAGATATGTCTTCCTTGCCTCTTGTAGACTAGAGAATAGGAGGTATGATACACCGGCCAGATCAGGTAGCTCATATGAACACAACTATGTATACAAAGCTACCACAGCAATACATACAGCATTGCCTACCGTTGTCTGCTGTCGGGATTCGCTCGACTTGACGCTGCCTCGTATATCGTTGTTATCTACATGTCGCCGTGTCGACAATGCGCGAGTGACGAAGATTTTAGATTTTGAATTCGTGAACTCATCACGCCGCCACCGATTCAACACGCGATAAACGTATTGTTCCATGTCTACGTGCCTGCCACTGCCCCTTTCCCTCGAACTATCGTCCGCGTTGGGCGCACACACGCCCTTGACCAAACGACAATAGGTCTGCTCCGAGGCCTGCGCTGGCTCGGCGTACTACGGAACGCAGTACTCGACGGAGGTGAGACCCCCACAACGCGATGTGAAATGCGAGTCGTGTGAAGCGTTTGGTGTTCCGATCCTGTGGGTCTTCCGTGGTAGGCGCGCTATGAATTGGATATACCTTTTGGCCTTGGTTCAGCAGAACGGTATGAAAATTTCACGTATGACTCATCCTCACTGGTACATTGGCAGTCATTCGTTGGTTCTCTTTAGCTGTCGTGCCTAGTTTGTACCCATCGCCAAGAGTGACAACAATCGTCGTGACCTGGCTGTGACCTGTTTCCGACTCTGAAGTTCCTTGGGGGCCTTCGGTGGTTGATCTATCGATGGCTTCTCCAGGCCACAGGTCTCAGGATTTCGCTACAACACTCCGTCGGACAACCATGAAGAGGGCCGTATATATATTGAACTAGTGTTCAAAACTCTCTTTACGTTGCATGCACACCACCGAGCACACTTACGTCGTTCCCCCGCGACGTGATGATACAGTCATCGACACGTTCGCACAGCACCGGCAGACAAGAGTCATCCACCGTCCATGTTCCCCGTTCATAACCTCCTCTACGCGAGGAGAGAGAATTGTCCCACGACGACGCTGGGGACATGTGACCCTTTTTAGGTCCACCTCCGCTGTATGTTTTCACCTAACGGTCTGGTGCCGCTCTCTACTCTACGGTCTCACCTACAACCCACCACACTTCATCGAGTAACAGCACACTGTGCACGCCTCCCACGTGTCGACGAAAACACCCTCCGTTGTCCACACACCAACGACTCTCCCTGATATTGTGTCGCTCCTTTGCGGGAACGCCACCCGCGGCTACTGCGCCTTCTATAAACAGTGCTGGTGCGGCGCCGAAGGCGCTGACTACGATGCCAACGGCGCGGGCGTCTGCGACATGCCCTGCGGCGGCAAGACGACGAGATCTGCGGAGGTTTCTACGCCATGTCGATCTACGAGAACGACGCGGACGACGGGGAATCCGACGACCCCTCCTACCTGGGGTGCTACTCCGACCCGGCCGACAGCCGCGTGTTCGTGCAGGGCGTCTCCTCTGCTGCAATGACCGCGGAGGTAAGCAGCTGACCGGGATGTTTTCGAGGGTTATTTGGTAAAACGAGAGCCTCTCATTCGCATTTCGGTTCGTGTTTCTCACGGCTTCTTTTATGATTGTTCCACTCAACTAGGTTTTGTGAGCTGGTGAACGCGGGAGAAGGTCTCCTTGCCTTTGTATACTACGGAAGAGGACATCGCGTAGAGAATCCAAAGATCACGGAACCTTGGTGGAACCAACACGCCTCTAACTTCACCTCACGATTCACGCGTCCACGTGCCCGTCGCGGTGCCCTTCCCCTTATCCGAACATCAACCTCATCGGGCGCACGGTCTCGAACGGACGACGACAGATCTGCTCAGCGGCCTGCGCCGGCTCGGCGTACTACGGAACGCAGTACTCGGTTGAGGTAAGACCTCGTGCAGCGTATGTTGTGAAGCCCTGGAGGATATTTATTGACATGTGGTGGCTGCTGTGGTCATGTCATGTGGTACAGGCTCGTTCCTGTAGGCGCGTTTTGAGACGGCCGTAATTTTTGCTGTGGTTCGGAACGGCTTGAGCCGCGGTATGCAAAATAGGAAACGTTCGCGTGGTCGAGCTGTGCCAGCACGGCAAAGTTTCCTGGGGGGCAACTCGCTGTTTTAATGATTTTGTGATTGATTTGCCACCTAGCCGGGAGACCTTGACAACCAAACGGCACATGATTGTTTCAGCACCCTTTGCCCAAGAAATTGTCATACGTCATGCCGAGCGCTGAGTCGTTCTGTCCTTGGGACACCAATTCTCAGTTCTTGTGCTTATCCGTGCGACAGCGATGAAACACGCTGCTTGCATTAAGAACGCCTCGGGTGATGGGTCCATACGCCACCGAGCACACAGACTCCGCCTACCCGTGACTTGGTGCTGCATTCGTGGCAATATTCGAACCACACCTGCAATATCGTCTTCCGCCGTCCTCCATTTGAAGTATCCTCCTCTATGCAAGAAGGCGGAATCGTACTCAAGTCGTCAAGACGGGAAGATGCGACCCTTTTTCCGGTCATCCGTTGCCGCTAACTCCCCCAAGCCCACCCTCATCGATTTCACTCCATCGCAAGCTGCAACCCATGCGCGTCATCAACGTCACGACGAAACCCCCGCCATTCTGTTCATTCCAACCATTTCCCTGCTGTATTCTAAACCACCTGGGACAACAGTGCTGGTGCGGCGCCGAAGGCGCTGACTACGATGCCAACGGCGCGGGCGTCTGCGACATGCCCTGCGGCGGCGACGCGGACGAGATCTGCGGAGGTTTCTACGCCATGTCGGTCTACGAGAACGGCGCGGACGACGGGGTACCCGATGAGTTCTCGTGCTCCGGCGACGCCGGAGTGTCGTCCGGCTCTTCCTGCTGCGAAGCCGACTGCGGCACTTGCGGAGGATCGGGTTGCAGCTCCCGCGGCTCCGGCGCCGCTTCGTGCTGCACCTCGAACATCCAGTCCGCCGGCATCCTTTGCTCCGACTCCGGGGCCGCCCCGTGCATCCTCTAAGTTTCTACCCTCGCTGTTAGGTGAGCCCCGCCCCTGTCCCCGTCTGGGTTCGAAGCGCGTCTTACGAGTGGTTGTTCGACGAAAGCCGTTAGAAAAGACCGTCGGGTCCGCACCCAATGCATCAGGTGTTAGTGCCGCGTGTGTGCTTTCGGAGTGATGAATCAGCACGTTCTACCGCGCCCCAGGATGGGAATGTTCAGTTGTTCCATTTTCTCTCCTGGCAACCTGCCTCTGATACACCACAGAGGTTTATGTTGGCGACCTATCGACGACTGATTGGCGTATGGCGTCGTCTTTTTTTGTCCCTGGTTCGCGACTAGACTCGGAAAAAAAAACATCGTTTCTGCTTTAGTTCTTGCCCAAGACTCTCGAGACATTTATGGTGTAGATCGACGAACCGCTGTTGTCGCTGTGGTCCTTGGTTGTAACTACTTCCCTTCCTCTCTGGCCACGTACTTTTTCGTCACTATCTTGCTTGGACCGTGGGTTTGTGTCGGCAGATGTTACGCCGCGTTACGCGCATCTCGCCCGTCAGGGCTTGCCGACCAACCGGGCGACGGTACTTCTTCACCGATCCCGGAGAAACTCGGCGCAATTGGTATCGTTTCAAGACCTCTGGAGACGGGGCAGATTGGGCTTGTTCAACTTACATGCTACAGAAAGATTTCGATGGACTTACCCACAAACAACGAGTGGGCTACAGTAGCGACTCGGGACTTGTATTGACAGCTTGTATGGAATAGCGACGAGTGCTTTTGATTGACTTTGAGACCGCCAACATGGGAAATGGAATATAGAACGTTTGCGGGGTAGGGGAATAGACTAGAAAGAGAGCCCAGGAGGCACGTAAGAGTAGGAGGGGAGATCGCTAAGCAGGGAAACAGCTCGACGCCGCCACGATACGTGAACGCGTGTAAGATGTGTGTGTTAGATGTGTCTTTGTAGGCGGTGTACATATCATCGTGGTCTCAGCAAATCCGGTCTGGACCGCCCGCTCGGTTCTTCCGAAGACGGTGAACGCGGGAGACCAATACCACACCATGGTAGTAAACGATTGGTGTGCGGATTGGATGTTACGCGATGTGTGTTTTAGATGTGCAGCGGTTCACCGGGGGCTCAGCTCAGCAAAACAGCCGGTCTAAGTCGTTCGTTTCTGATTGCCTTGACTACCCTATCGACCAAGTTGCTCTGAACAAACTCCGACGGTAGGCCTGTTTCGTTGCATATTTCTCCTGCATCTCGTGTCCATCCGCCTGAATGCAGACACCTTGAAACACTGACTCGGTTGTTTTCCAGCCGGGGGGGGCTGTCTGAAGAAAGATTATTGGTGTAGGTTCTTTGTGAAGAAAGATCATTGGTGTAGGTTCGTTGTGCGGTCCGAGTTATATGTGGGGGCCACAGGGTAGCCACGATTGACGCGACTAAGTGTTGGGATTTGTATGCAAGAACTGACTCTATTCTACTGCATGGGTTTTG